AGGGAGTAGCTCCGTGGTCCACCACTGCCCCTGTACCCAGGAATCTAGCATGGGACTCTGCCATATCTCCAATATCCTGAACCTCTGAATCTCCCGTACGACTAGGATATCACTTCACAAGGATGCCCTGACTATGCACTCTGTCGGTCATGCTAGCTCGAAGTAGCACGTGACGTGCTGCACGTCTAGGAAGGGCAATGTGCTTTTCCAGATTCAATAGCCATAAGAGTTCAGTGCCGCTGCAGTATCCCATGAGGGGAGTATTTAATAATAGAGTGATAACGGAGTTAGTATGCATCTACACTGCCTCGAGTTGGGGATACTCAGTAGCAATACTCTTGAAACGTTTCATATAGGCATTGGACACCACGACAACACTCTCTTGCCTAGTGGGTATATGCTAACCTAAGCCGTAGTATATCCGCATCGAACTGACAGTCAAACTTTGACATAGAAAATTGAACATTCTCTGTTCGGCTAGCGCACGCCCGGAAGATCGATCTCGGACGATTCTCTACTCCTAACGTTAGTGGTGTCTTGTGGGGTTAACGGTTTGTGTTAGTTGAGTTCGGTTGGTCCGTTGTTTCATGGCCAGCGTGTGGCTGATTTGACCAGCATCAGCATATGTAATAATACTAAGCTATAGATCAGCATAGTATCTCCATTATTGTTAGGTATACCGGTCAAAACCATCAGCACCAACAATCATCGTCAGCAACATCACAGCGTCGGTCTAGTTACTCTTACAATCGTCAACGACCCTCCTCCTCGCAACACCAACAACAAGGCTCTGCGGGAGATGCTGAGTATGGTCGGCGTCCCTCCATTACAGGAGGTAACAACTCAGTAACATCTATGGACCAACAGGAGGGGAACAATTACCAGTATCGGATGCAGCAACAACAACAGCAGGGTTCCTCCTATGCTGGGGGGCAGCGGTCATCCTATAAACAAGTAGAGGCTAGTACTAGTGATGTTAGTATCATGCTGGCTCCTCAGGGTGGTGGACGAGGCACTAGCAGTGGTGGCAACGATACATTTCCGAATTCACGCTCGACAACTACTCAATACTACAATGGTGGTAGTCAGCAGTATGCTAGCGGACGAACGGGCGGTACAAATAATCAATACTATTATCAGCAGGGAGGTAATCATCATCATTCCCGTAACACTGGAGGGGAGTATAACCATCATCACTATGGTGGGGGTAGCAAGGGTGGTGGGATGTCAGTACGTCATAAAGGAGGTGGAGGAAGCCAACGCAATGTTGATACAGCTAACTACCGTCACTACCAACAAGGCAATGCCCAGGTTACTGGTGCCATGTATGGTAACTCTACAGATCAGCAACAACAGGTGCAGGGAGGTTACTCATGCGAAGATACCGCTGATGTGAGTAGTAGTGGCAACACTGGGGAATCGGATCCTAGTGGACCGACTACTGCTGCTGCTGCTGCTGCGAATGTATACTGGCAACAGAACTACTATGCCGCGATGGCAGCAGCTGCAGCAGCTGGTAATAATGGCAACCCAAATGGTGGTATGTCTGAGTATCAAGCTGCTGTTGCTGCTACTGCTGCATACTATCAACAACAACAGCAGTATTACTATCAACACACACAGCTGCTATGTTGGCTATGCAGCA